GATTCGATTCGATTTTGAGGAACCCTAGTAATTAGTACGGATGCAGCTTTAGTAAGATATTTAAATCTTAATTTTCCTTCATCAAAATTGAGATTTGCTTTAGTACGTTTGAACCAATCTGTTCCTAGTAATAAATTTTCATCAGGGGACTCAATTACTTATAAAGTAATAGACATTCTAATAGGTCTAATAATAATCTTGACAGTATTAATTTTTCTCAATGCTTTTGCTCTTTTTCCATTAGCAGTATTAATAATAATTTTTGATGGTTCGTTAATTCTTAATTTATGTCTTTTAACTAAACTACTAGTAATAATACTGATAGCAACTCTTGAGTCAAGAATAGCTTGTATATTTTGATGATTTATTTGTATATTACATCAGACAGCAGTGGTAGGAGTTTTATTATTATTATCATCGCTAATATATTCTTCATCTATTCTAATATTGTTGGTTTCTTTAATAATAGCTTTTTTAAAAACGTTAGCTAAATTTCTTCTTTGATCTGGGTATTTTAACCATTGGCCAAGTTTTGCAGAAAAATGTAAGTTAAGAATATCTTCAGCAACATTATATGAAGCAAGTTGGTCAACAGCAGAAGATGTATGAGAAATTTTTTTTCGAGGAGTTTTAGGAGTTGGTCTTGGAGCTATAATTTCTTCTCCATTTTCATTATATATTAGATCAATTATGGGGATTCTAGTTGATTTATCCACATTCCTATTTTTTAATCTTATTTCAGGTTGAGATTTAATTGCTTTTCTAACCCTATCTTTTATGTCCTTTCTGTTAGTATTATAAGGGACAACTCTAACTCTAAGGGCAGCATAAACTTCCTTATATTCTTCTTGTTCTTCTTCTGAATCTAAATCAGAATATAATTCAACCATATTAGCATCCCTTCTTTTCTGTTGAGTTCCACTACATTCTTTAGCGTAATGGCCTTTCTTTTGACATTTAAAACAAGTGGTTTGGGATTTATCAAATTTTGTATTAGAAGTCGTAGGTTTTATCTGGGTTTGGGTACTTAGAGCAAAGACAATATTAGCATAATTAAGTGTAAGCTTTTCCATCTTTTTTTGCAAGTGCTTCCATTGCATCGTCATTAGGACTTTTAGTTTTTATTTCAATTTGTCTTTCATGTCTTTTAGCTTGTCTTTCAAAATAAAATCCAGCTTCATAATCAATAGTTTCTTGAATTGCTTCATTAATAGTCACAGGTTTTTGTGCTGCTACCCATTTGACAAGATCTTTTCAAAGTCCTTTCAAAAATAATCTAATAACATACGAATCAGGTAAATTTTTATTTGGATCTATTTTCTTTTTAAGTCTTCTAAATCGATTAGCGTAGGATTCTACTTTTTCATTTTTTCTTGTAGAATTTCATTTAGTTCATAATGCCATTTATTCTGTTGTTCGATAGTAGAAAAATGATTTAAGAATTTAAATACAAAAGAGTTAGGTCCATCTTGATCATTATTGATTTGATTATCATTCTCTTCTTCTTCTAATTCTATTTCATCTGGATCTTTCTAACTTTGAAAGTCAGTATCTTCATACCAATCAGTTGCCATTCCTTTAAGTAATTATCCAACTATTTCTAATGCTCATTCTGAAGTCCAATTATTTGTTTTAGCAGCTTTTTTAAAGTGAATGAGCCAATCGTTTGGATCCTCATTAGTTTTTTTAGAAAATCTTCGAACAGGAACTAAATTAGTTTCTCTAGGAGATTGACATGGCCTATTTACATTTAATCGATCAGATATTGTATCCAAAGAGGTAGTAAACTGGTTTATAAGTACATTGAATTGATCTTGATCCATTTTTGACGAATTGATTATTTCTCAAAGTAATTGTTGATTTTTTTGTATTAATAATCAATCACTTTGTAGCTATAATAAATTTGATCTAATATTTCATTATAGACTTTTAATACTGTAGAGTAATTGACTGATTGTTGGAAACAGTTGGTTTTAAAGGCAACACCTTGAATACAGAAATATAATATATTTGAGAATAAAGGCAAATTTTTGTATCGAATACTAATAAGTAATTTGATGATCACTTCTTGTAACCTTGTATCTCGATGTTTGCTTACTGGTATATTATTTAAGTGTTCAAATAAATTAAAGGTAACTATAGTTCTAGTTGAGTATGTCTCAGCTCTGTGTGCTAAATGAAACTACTTCCAGAAATTCTGAAAGCTAAGTTTGAGGGTATCAAATGCAAGTGGAGGATAATACCAAGGCAGGTATAATCTACGTTTAGAGATTCATTTGCTAGATATTTTATGATGTGTTTAGTTATATTAATTTCGACTTCTTTAAAATTCATTTACTATAGGCTAGAGAGCCTGGCAGGAATCATCACTTTGTTAGCCGGATGGCTAAAAATAAAACTTAAACGATATAATTCAGTCCGTTGAATTAATCACAATAACTTTATCACAATCACACCTTTATGAAAACATGGCAAAGGTAATAGTAAATGAATAACAAATATCTTTATTGAACTCTTGGTTTATTCACAAAACCCTATCTCGAGTTATTCTTCAACTCAAGGAAAAATACATGCTATTTATATAAAATAAACTAATAGTAATATAATATGATAAATATATCTAATATAATAAATATAACTAATATGATAAATATAATAAATCTATCAAATATAACAAATTTTATAAAGTTAATAAAGTTAACAAATATTATAAATATGATAAATATGGATCATCGGTCAAATATAACCAATCTGTTATATTTGTTAACCAAATCAAATGATCATTGCAATTACAGATTACGGCTTCAATGTCCAGTCTTTATTAGAATATTTACACAAAAATGAACAAGTTGTTGAAGTCGAAGATCTAGAAAATAATATTCCATGCGATGATAATGATAAAAGTGAAACCATAGGATATATAGCGATTGCATTAGAAAATGCATTGTATAAATTTCAACACTAATAAATTAGTCTTTTTATAAAATAAATATAATAAAAAAATTTTTTATTTAATAAAATTATATAAAATCAATAAATTAAACTTTTCGATAAAATTCATATAACTTAATTGTCTAATCATGTGAAAGTCTTCCAAGGATTCATTTTTGTGTATTGAATCCTTAATTGATAAGTTTGAAAAAACATCATGTGACAGTTCACAATTTGTAAGACATAAAACATTTGATTAATTTGTTTTTAACATCACATCTTTAGCTTTTATTTTCTAATAATAATAAAAATATTACTTAAATATTGTTTTTTAATATTTTATAACTATTCTATACTTAAAAAATTGAAAAAATTAATTCAGATTTTGCTGATTTTTGATTTTCAAAACTGGAATCAAAATCATTTTTACTAGCCAATTAATCATTTTAAAAATTGATTTTTCTAATTCGACTTTGAAACAATTCCAATCCTTATAAAGGTTGCTTTCTTAATCAATAAGACATACAATTTTTATTATGATGATAAAATGATAAACTATTTATTGTTTTTTTTAGTAAATAACACACAAAAGTTATGAATATATAGAAAATCAGAACTGATTCATTTTTTTATATGCACTTAAAAAATTGGTTTCTTTATTTTATTAAAAAATTCCTAAAATAAAAGCCAACTAATTAAATTTATTATAAACTTACAAAGAGGGATATGCGATAAAAAATATAAAAAAAGAAATTAATTAATTAATAATTTATTTATTAGCAATGCATTGTTGCAATACTCTTTTTTTTTAAAAAAAAAAATAGATAATTTAAAATTGAGAGAAATCTCAGTTATTGCAAGTTTTCCTACAAATAAAATGCTTTAGTTTGTTTACTATAAAAAAAAATGTTTGATAAAATTTTTTAATGATTTAATTTGAAGCATATAAAAGTGGTTGAAAATAATTTACAAAATGAAAATTTAACAATGCCAACTTTATTCTAAATAAATTAAATTGTTTAAGGATTAAATTAACTTTTAAAACTTTAAATTTCTCTTATTCCAAATACAGTATTTCTCATTGAAAATAGAATCATATAGAAGGCAATTAATAGAGCTAAGCAGAATTTTAGAAAAGTTATTTGGTGTATTGAATTTTCAAAGATTCTGGTATGATATCTGTTAAGGAATCAGGTAAATTTGGCAAACTATTTATTTGTGTATCATAACACCAGAGGATTTCTAATGAGTTAGGTAAAGTTGGTAGGCGGGTTATTTGAGTATTATAGCAATAGAGAATTATTAAGGAGTTGGGTAAAGTTGGTAGGCTGGTTATTTGAGTATAAGAGCAATTGAGTTCTGTTAAGGAGTTTGGTAAAGTTGGTAGGCTGGTTATTTGAGTATTATAGCAATAGAGATCCGTTAAGGTGTTTGGTAAAGTTGGTAGGCTGACTATTTGAGTATTATAGCAATAGAGTCCCGTTAAGGTGTTAGGTAAAGTTGGTAGGCTGGTGATTTGAGTATTATTACAATTGAGTGCTTTTAAGGAGTTTGGTAAAGTTGGTAGGCTGGTTATTTGAGTATAATAGCAATAGAGTTCCGTTAAGGAGTTTAATAAAGTTGGTAGGCTGGTTATTTGAGTATTATAGCAATAGAGATCCGTTAAGGAGTTTGGTAAAGTTGGTAAGCTGGTTATTTGAGTATAATAGCAATAGAGTTTTGTTAAGGAGTTAGGTAAAGTTGGTAGGCTGGTTATTTGAGTATTATTACAATCGAGTACTTGTAATTTTCTAAATCTTTGTAATCCTCCTAAGGTGTATAATATATCCTCATTATCTTCTGTAATCGTTAAACTATCAATAGTATCATCGTAAATAATGACATCTGTTTCATTATTCGATTCTAATGCATCTACTATATTCATCTGATTCAAATCAAAATTTTGAATCACTAGAGATAATTCCCCATGTAATGAATGAGAAGATTTTTCAGACAATTGAATTTTTGATTCTTCATTCATTTGATCATTTTCTAATATATTTGTTTTTGTAAAAACTGCATTTAATGCATCAACTACTTTGTTCATAGCCGGACGATTTTCTGGCTCGCCGTTCCAGCACTCTAAATTTATATATAATCAATTTAATGATCGAAAACATTATATATTTAAATTTAAATTAAATAATATAATATATTTACCTGTATAAATATTTACGTAATATTCAGGAGTACCAGAAATGACACTTTCTCTGAGTCCTTGTAAAATGTCTATAGCTAAACTAACGTCATAT